ATGTAGTGATATTTCAGTTCATTCAGATTATTTTACAGTGTGCATTCAAAAGAGTAAAACTGATCAGTATCGGGCAGGCAATGAAGTCGTAATTGCTAAAGGTTCAAGTTCAGCTTGTCCATATAATATGCTTATGAGATACATGTCCACAGCAGGTGAAAAAGATCTGGCTTGAGGCAGCAGCAGAGGTGTGCGGATGGACACGAGGGAAAGGCAGACACAAAGAAACCTGGTGGTGGAATGAGGATGTTGCAAAGGCTGTTGAGGAGAAGAATGCAAAGTTTACAATCTGGGATCAGTCAGGGAGGGAGGAAGACCATAAAGCATACAAGCTAGCAAAGAAAAACTCACGTCGAGTGATTTGGGAAGCCCAGGAGGCCAAGAGAACAGAGCTTCTGGAGGAGATAACAGAAGGGAACCAAAAGATGCTATTCCGGATAGTACAGCAGATGGCACAAGCCGCTGTGGATGTGATGGGTCCAACATGTGTGAAAGATGAGGCTGGAAGCATCGTCATTGAGGCTGCTTCAATGAAAGAAGTGTGGAGGAGTTACATGGAACGCCTCATGAATGTTGAAAACTCATGGGATGGGATCATTGAGTGTGACGCAACAGAGGGTCCAAGATGTCTCCTCTCCCAAGATGAGGTTGCTCGTGCCCTTTCACTTTCCAGCCAGGGAAAGGCAGCTGGTCCATCAGGCGTTGTCACAGAACTTTTACTAGCATCAGGGAAGCATGGTGTGGAGTGGTTGACAGATCTGTTCAATACTAGATGAAGGTCATATTCCATCTGACTGGACTCTGAGTGCAGTAGTCCCACTCTATAAAGGAAAAGGAGACCCACTGGCCTGTGGATCCTACCGTGCCATCAAGCTTCTCGAGCACGCCATGAAGATCTGTGAGAGAGTACTTGAAAAGAGAATCAGAGAGCAGGTCGCAGTTGATGAAATGCAGTTTGGCTTTATGCCAGGAAAGGGAACTATCGATGCCATATTCACCGTACGTCAGATGCAAGAAAAGTTTCTTGCAAAGAAGCGGCAGCTGTACTTTGCATTTGTTGACCTCGAGAAGGCCTTTGATCGTGTACCAAGGGAGGTTGCCAGATGGGCTATGAGGATGGTAGGTGTCGAGGAGTGGCTAGTACAAGCAGTCATGGCACTATTTGTGGAAGCAAAGACCCACATCCAAACATCGTGTGGTGACAGCAAAAGCTTTGGTATTAAAGTGGGAGTTCATCAAGGTTCAGCGCTCAGTCCTCTCCTCTTCATCATCGTAATGGATGTCATCTCAAAAGATATTAGGGAAGGCTTTCCGTGGGAACTGCTCTATGTAGATGACCTGGTGCTGATGGCTGAGAGTGAACAAGAACTGGTAGCTAGAATGTCTTCATGGCAAGCAGCCCTAGAAGGAAAGGGTCTGAAAGTGAACGCTGGAAAGTCCAAGGTCATGGTGTCTTCTGCAGATGCAGGTGAGAGAGAAAACAGGAGAATACCCCTGTGGAGTTTGCTATGCAGGTGTTGGATCAAACTCAATCAGATGCACCAACTGCAGGAGCTGGGTCCATCGCAGATGCAGTGGAATCTCTGGTAGCCTGCAAGCAGCAAGTAAGACAATCATCTGCAAGAGATGCTTAGGTTCAATCTCACAGAAAGGTACCAGTGGGACTTTGACAGGTCTGGATTTCCATGGAGAGATGTATGAAAATGTGGAGAAGTTCTGCTACCTGGGAGACATGTTAGCTGCCAGAGGAGGCGAGACAGCAGCTGTGACTGCAAGGATCCAAAGTGCTTGGAAAACGTTTCGTGAACTCTCTCCCTTCCTCACCTCAAGGGTGACCCCTCTGAGAGTGAAAGGGAAGGTGTATGATGCATGTGTAAGAAAATGCATGACATACGGGAGCAAAACATGTGCAATGAAATCGTCTAGTGTACAGCGCTTGGAAAAGGTTGAGATGAGGATGGTGAGGTGGATGTGCAGGACATCACTACATGAAAGAACGAGGAATGAAGTCCTCCTTCAGTCAGTGGGCCTGATGGGGGTAGCAGAGGTTATGAGGATTAACAGGCTTAGATGGTATGGACATGTGGCTAGGAGAGAGGCAACACACTGGCTCCAGAGAGCTTTAAATTTTTGAGTCACCGGAAGAAGGCCTCATGGGAGACCCAGAAAAACCTGGAGGGAAACTGTAGAAGAAGATGCCAAAACATCTGGTATCGCTCACATGGACAGGAAAGCTTGGAGAGCAGCCATTAAGGAAATGAAATGTCCAACCCCACAAAGTGGGACAAATGGACTTTAAACGCTGATGATGATGATGATGATGAGCAGGTATAAGTTCTAAATCAGAAGAATTTTTGTTCAAACCAGCACACAGGTCGAAAAACGTGTGTAAACTAGTGTCAAAAGACAAACAACTGAGTTACACTAGGGCTAGGGAATGCATCCTCAAAATGTTGTCTTCAGTAGCACCTCAATTAAATTTAGGCTTGCACTCTCTGAGGTCAGGTGGCGCAACAGCAGCTGCTAATAATGACGTAAAAGAGCTGTGTCTGAAGCGACACGGAAGGTGGAGAAGAGAGGAAAGTAAAGATGGTTACATAAAAGATTCTCTAGAAAAGAGGCTAAAGGTCACACAGAGTCTTGGATTGTAGATTCTGATTGAAATACAAGACTAAAAAGAGAGATTGAAGTCGAAAGTACGACTTAATTTTTTGGAGCACTTTGATAATTATGGTACAGTTGTATATATCGTGAAAGAAGGAAACGTCATTTTCAATTATTTTAATTTTAATTTAACCCTTGCTTTGGTAATGTTCTATTATAGGCGGCGCTCAAAATGCTCTGCTTTCGCCTAATATAAAATATGTGTTATAAGTGTGATTTATGTCATTAGTATAGATAAGACTATTCATTTCCCGCGGTTCGCAGTATAGCGGGAAATATTTGTCTTAGAGTTTCGGACAATGCATAGTGTGCATTACGAAGCCAGGTGGTATTATATAATAGGGCGTTGGTAGTAAGGTTTAATAGAGAGGTATTGTGACAATGAAGTCAGTTCTAGCGAGCACTCCACAGTGACAACACTATTTTCGAAATAATGCTTATAGAAACATATTTGGAAAAAATATTATTTGTGGCAACATATGTTATAATACAGGGTGAAGTCCAACACCTTCACAGAGGAGAGCGTTGAATGTTGTTGGGCACAGGTTTTCAGAGCATTTTAACAATTTTATCTCTGTTTTTTTCCTGGACGTCGCGTTCTCCGATGATGTGTTATCTAAATCTTGCATAATACAACATGGTATATTTAAGATGTGAGACTTGGTATTCTAAAAGTCTTGATAATGGTTCAATGTGACCAAACTTGCAATTTCATTTTGTTATTAGAGTGCAAACTGTCAACTTGTTCATTTTGTTAATGGTCCAAAAGGATCTTGTCATTGGAAGGGCAAACAGGCTTTGCCCATTTTGTTAATTGTTAATTTTTAATGTATAATCTTGTTATCAGAGGGCAAACAATCTTTGCCATCAGCAATAAACGGCGGGAACAGGCGGCGCTCAAAGTGCTCTGCTTTCGCCTAATATAAATTATGTGTTATAAGTGTGATTTATGTCATTAGTATAGATAAGACGACATCTGTACGTCCCTACATTTAAATTAAAAGGTTTATTTGGTAGTGTGGCCTTCCCATGGACCCTATATTCTGTGCTATCGTGGCATACATTAAGTTTTAGCAGACTCTCAGAACATGAGAGGTTTGTTCTGATGGCTCAGCATTAGTTTTAAAAACTAAACTACAGCTGGACTTAAGAGGAAACAACAAATTCCTGATAGGGGATCAGTATGCACTGTAATAGTATCAGAATAATGTCAGATGAAAACCTTTATGTTGGAGTACTTGCCGTTGGAGATCCAAAATGCAAATTTAAGTCAGAGTTTTGAGTAGTTCTGATGCCTATTGGGTAGAAACATACTAACCATGATAATTTAGTAAAATGTAACGTGAGTAACCGTGGAATTGCCCAGCGACATTTCATTGTTCATCTTAAAGCTAAAGATATTCTGCTCGGCATTACCATGGTTATGTAGTTATCACTTATCAGAATTCAATAATAAAGACCAAAAACGTAGACTCATGAATATTCAAAAATATAATTCGCTGGCTTGACAAGACTTCGAGGCCAGATCAGGCGCAGAGCCTTGCAAATCTGAAAGCCACCGTGCGTAGTGGTCTTTGTTGAAAAGTATTCATGGTACTTGCCACCAGTACGGGCCGTTATCACGTGTCTAACCAGGAGTTGGGCCGAGTCGTTAATCCTTGTGTGTAGGATCCGTGCGTGGTGCTTGGTGGTTAGTTATATATTTTCCCCTGATAATGACGTACATGTAATACCCCACTTAACACAATACCGCGGTTTTAGTGAATACCGCATTTTTTTTGTCACTGGATACCGCGGCATAGTAAATGCAATACCGTCCCAAGCCTAAGGGTCATGTACATGTATGACTTTCTGTGATCAAAAGCACAGCCTGTTTGTGATGATAAACATTGAGGATATATTTGCTGGAATCAACCATGGATGTAGAAATAAACCAGGGTAAATCAAAGCCTTTGAATTTTAGCCATGAATCTTGTTTGCACGATCCAGATACAGATGCGCATAGGCCATTAATTCAATCTATTTTTTTCACTCCGTGATTCAATTTGTGTATTAAGTCGGCAAAATGACGACTTGCAGCAGAAGCCGACATTCGCGTAAGTCGTCACAAATTCTCTGGTCCCAAGATTGCTGTCTTAGCCGGAGTTTACTGTATGCTGATTTCGAGGTTTTTGTCGAACATCCCAACAACCAAAATATATTTAATAGCAAAAAACTTTAATATATATCTGCAACCCTCAACGCAAGATTACAACAAGTTTTTGTCAACCAATTATCGGCAAATACATGTTGAGCATCAAAATCAGCATCTGTGATTATCATAGTGATTCTCTTACCTCTGGGCTTGTCTACTGTCATCAGTCTCAGGAACGGCTGGTTGCTGCATCCATCACACAACTCATCACAACCATTGCTCAATGTGTGCGTCATCTGACATCTAGTCATGGATGGTGCCAGAACAGAGTAGAAACATTGGAAACGGTCAAGTCCTTGAAGCTTTTGTCACAGACGTCGTCGCAAGCATGTGTTGTACAGCCTTCTAAGTGTTGGCATTTAGAAGCAAGGAGACTTTGCACACAATCAATCGTAGAACAGTGTGTATTTCACAAGTTTGTGTTTTGCTGAACTCCTGTCAAAAACTGTCTGCAGTGAGAATGTTTAAACACACTTTAACTGGTAACTGTACCGCACATCTAGGTCCTTGGTTATGATGGTAAACGTTGAACTCCCCCTCGATGGAATTAGCTTGGTTGTAACTGGTTGTAAATGTACAGAAGTCTCATGGTGCAACGTTATGTTCTGTAGACAATGTACACATGTTGTTTCAACGCAGCATCGAAGATCAAATGGAGACATAATTATGCTGTTGTTCTTTCGGGATCCTTGCCATCTTGCTCGCTGATGGATTACTGTCCAATAAAGTGTTTCTTTTTTGACGTCTGCATGTTAATCTGCAGATGCTTAGTCAGGCTGGAACTTCATCGCTGACAAGGTCTTGAAACGTGTGCACGTTCATCAAACACCAAGGGCCTGCTAGTCACTTCCTTTCTTGGTGAGAGCAGGCTGATTTCCTGAAAGAGGCATGGGGAAAATACTTCATTAAATTCCCAATAAAGTGTTTCATGTTTCACCACGGGTAGTGCAGCATATGAAAATATGGTTGCACACTATGGTTACAAAACAAATCTGTCACTTAGTGTCAGGCACTTAAATGTACATGTAATTATGTGCCCCATAGCGAATGTGGTACATGTACAGGGTGAGTAAAAAAAAGCGGAACCCAAACCCCCAAAATTATATTTCATATGTAAAAAAATAAGTAGCACCGGAAATGATAATGACTGGAAAGCAAATTTCATGAGGTACTTTTAGATGAAAAAATTGACTGAAATTGGTCAATCCGTTCGAAAAATATCACCATTTAAACACAATGACCCTAAAACCTGTCTCGTCCAAAAAATGCGATTTCAAGAATCATCGTCGCAATTGTCTTTAAACATCACCAGCGATAAAATCTCAGTTTAAACGTTAAAAATATTTGGAGACCCGTCCTTTAAAAAAAGTACATTTTTATAAATCATATTGTTTGCCTAACCAGGGTTGTTAATAAAGATAATGTGTACTACATTTGGTGACAGTTGTTGAAACAAGTATTCTGTGTTATTTTCCTTGTTGTTCAAAACAGTCCAATCACACAATGAATTGCTTTTTTTGGACGAGACAGGTTTTAGGGTCATTGTGTTCAAATGGTGATATTCTTTGAGCGGGTTGAGCAATAACAGTATTTTTTTTCATCTAGAAGTAGCTTATGAAATTGCCTTTTCAGTCATTACTATTTTTGGTGCTACATATTTTTTAAATTAGAAATATATTTTATTGGGTTTGGGTTCCGCTTTTTTTGACTCACCCTGTATGTGGTGTGATGCTGCGCAGTACGGACCGTGTCGGCGGATGTATATTTTAGTAGCCAGTTTTGATATTGTTTGGTAAAATTTCACAAACTCGCCCCTTGATATTCTTTGATTAACCACAGATGATTTGGCAAGGTTTCAAATTCATGACGTCATGAGACCGGAAGTTACTTCTATGAGAATTTGAAAACGATAATATTTTAAATGTAATTATATCATTTGATTCATGTCGTATATCTTTGTAGCCCAAGTAACGAAATCCCTTACAATGTTTACCTTTTGCTTCCAAATACTGTGACGTCATCAAACCGGAGTTAGGTGTTATGAATGCATACAATTATATTTTCCATATTTTCATACGTTATTTTACTTCACAACGAACATTTATCCACTCCGAACTAAATCATTATTCACTTCCTGTTTTTGAATAATGATGTCATTAAGCCAGAAATAACTTGTATGTGTACATAGAAATTTTACTAAAATTTATCACACCGTTAAAGATGCATTTTTTTAAACAAAATAATTGATTGTACTGGAAAGGATTTAATTTCGTGATCCTTGTTCTTACATAAACATATTCATAACTTAACTCGGCAGTGTTTAATGAACAAGCTGCCTGCCCGACCACTCTGCGTTTGTAACAACAAACGCGAACCTCTAGTTATCCTTATTATTACTACTATCTTTGTGTAATGGTTGGAATTCAAAGAATTTTCAGTTAGGTATCCGAAAGGCCGAGTTGGGTTACTGTAATCATCATAATGCAGAGTTGCAGACCTTAAAGCAATAAAACCAAGGAAAATAAAAATACAAGGACAACAATGGACAGTTTCTTCTCAATTTTACATCACATCTTCTCACCATATATTTTCCTCTGACTGAGGTAATTGAAGAAATGGTATAACGACTGCAAAACAAGGACACTGTTTCCAAAAGTTAATTATACTCACCAAATATGGCTGCTGGAAGTTTTTGGTTTGATATTTCTTTCCAAAATTTGCAATGCATCACGAATACAGGTCAACCTGTACATGAGCCAACTTGTACGCGACCAACTCGTATGCAGGACAACTTGTACGCGGACCAACTCGTCCGCGGTTCAACTCGTACTCGGGCCAACTCGTTTGCAGACAAACTCGTACGCGAGCCAACTCGTACGCGTGAGTATAGACTAGCGTGGTACAAGTACATTTACTGAAACTTTTAGTCCGGGCATGTTCGTGTCACATAGGATTATGCCGGCCAACTGACCTACCCTAACTTCCTATGATAGGAAATTAGGGTTGGTCGGTCGGCCGGCCAGCGACATTTTTTTTTGAAGGGGATTATGTTGTGTTACTGAGTGATCCCAACTAGTTGATTTTTAAATCAGCTTTTTATTGCTCATAACAAAAAAGTTATGATTTTTTTTCTCGGACCATCGCACACTGTCCTGCTGGCCCACATCGTATGCTATACGACAAGATAATGCCACGTGTAGTGAGAATTTAAGTCGTATAATGTCCACTGCATTTGTAGACCTCCCACAATATGCGCCACGCTACGAGTGTAAATCAAATCATTGTATGTGTTGACAAATTCTCCACACTCGTCTCGTGGTTTTACCTGCATGCCGTCACACTCTGAGTCTGACAATATATCGGTTGCAACATTTATCGGTTTTTTTTCTAATTTATCATCAAAACTTTTGAACTTGTACATCGATCGTTGCATCAATGGAATAGAAATTGCTGAAAATGGGCCTTATTCACGAGTCAACCATATTGAATTAAAAGTTAGGTAAAATCTTAATTTTTTGAGCTTGCGAAGAGAAATGAAAGCAACTTAATTTATAATCAATTCCAGTCTGCTTCAATGCATAATTTAAAATTTGTTATTAAACATTCCCTAATGTTTAAAGCCATGTTTAAAAAAAAATGACAGTAAAATAAGGCTGCTTATGCCTGCATAAACAGTCTGGCGCCATCCCATTCAACAATTAACAATAAATGAAATACATTCAGGGAACTCGACAAAAATGGCCAACTCGTGAATAAGGACCATACATATGGCTACAATCATATCAAACAGTCATCACACAGTAATAAGCCTTTTCGGAGTTCCAACTGCGCATTCGTAACCTGTGACAACGGGCATTGTTTGTCTCAAATGACCTTTGACAACATCGCGCCACTGACTTTACAAAAAGGCTGTTTGTGCCTTGTGGGTACTGTCAAAGGGCATTTGGGGACAAACAATGTGCGTTGTTGGAACTCCGAAAAGGCTTATTAATTTTCGGGTATGTTTTGGGGTGAACTTTTGGCGATCATGTATAGGTGGACTTGACGAAACGGTATATCATTCAATTTGTTTTTTAAATTGTCTCATTTCGGCCCGCATACGAGTTGGCCCACGTACGAGTTGGCCCACGTACGAGTTGGTTCACGTACGAGTTGACCAATCCGTGTACGAGTTGTCTCAGGTACGAGTTGGTTTGCGTACGAGTTGTCCTGTTTCCTGTACAGTAGGCCTATATGTAATGTAATTTAAAGCATTTTACAAATAATCATTCTTTTTACGTTAACAAGGGGTAACACATAGGAAATTATGATTTATTTACATTTAAGAATATAGGCCTAAATGAAATGCTAATTTGTGTTACAAGGCAAAAAACTTGAAACTGGTCTCCATTATTGAACAATTTCAGGAACTTTGTACACTTTTTAAGCAATCACCGCTAGTGTGTTTGATTGTTTGCGCAGTCGCCTTGAGCCAGGTTCTCAATTATTGAATTGCGATCGCCTTTACGCAAGTTGTAACGTGCGCACGCAAATTAAAATGGCGCAGTGTAATTTGCATGCTACGGGAGTCCCTCGTGTTATTGACTAACAAAAAGCCCCCAGATAGCAATTTCATGTTATCAAAGTCAATTTGAGCAGTGAGAAAATACAAGCATTTTCTTAGAAAACACTTAGAATTTTTCAGTCCAATCTCATAGGGTTTGTACACAGGGTGTTGAGTGAACTTCGTATATATGGAAATCTTTCGAACTTCTTTAGCAGATGACTATCCAGTACCAAAGTGACTTTTGCAGGCTAAAGCAGTCTTTTTTTCTTCAGATAAATTCATTCATGTTAGTTGTAATTTTGAAAGCACTTCCAAAGAAAATGTGACTTTCCTATCCTTTTTTGCAGTTTGCAATCGCCGCTAGTGTGCTTAAGTTGATTGCTTGCCCGGTCCCCTCCCTGGCCCCGCCCCCACGTACCCTTAAACAACTTCTCTGATAAGCACTGCTAAATCTCAATGTTTCTTTTCATTGACGCTAATTGAATTCCCCTTTTTTATTTATTTCTTTATTCATTCATTTATTCCATTATTTCTCCATGTACTCGTGTTTTGAAAAAAGATTTCTTCATCAATGAAAATCCCTCCCGCAAAAGAAGGTTGCGATCGCCTTTGCGCAAGTTAACTTGCGCACGCAAATTAAAATGGCGCGGTGTAATTTGCGTGCTTCAGGAGTCCCTCGCGCAAGTTTAAACTTGCGCGCGCAAGTTTAAACTTGCGTGGGGACTCAAATTGCGCTCGACATTTCCAAACAAAATTGGAAATGTCTGGTTGCAACATTTTTCCCGAGTTTGTAAGGGGCGAGTCAGTCAGGGGGCGAGTTGGTAACGGGCGTGTCGGTCAGGGGCGAGTTGACCTGACACCGTCCTCACCATGCTGACCATGATCCAAAAATATGCGTTTACATGGTTTATAAGTTCACACTCACAATTTCCTTCCAAACGCACGACGTACAGCTGGAATTTCATCTCAATTGTCTCCGAGGCTTCTGGGTATATTAATAAACCATGTGACACAAGAAAATTGGCTTAACTCTCGCAATAAACCTGATTAAATAACTCGATAAAACTCACCTATCTTGCGCCAGTCGAAAAAGCCGCACGTGCATGGTAGCCATATTGAATGTTGGGGTAGTTCTTAATAAGCCAATCACAAGTGCCCCTGGCTAGCTTCATGCATTATGCATATGACGTAGGGAGTTTTGTGATTGTTATTTCATTGAATTTAAACCGTGGAGGTAGAAAAAGACTAAATAGTGACTAAAATTTCCAAAATAGCATTATTGAAACCAGAGCTCTATTTTACGGATTTAGTGGGGGGGGGGGGGGGGGGGGGGGATATAAAAGGTACCCGATATGCTAAGCATGGAACCGGAGAGACACCTGCACACTGCACTTGACTGCTTTTCATATATGAGTCGTCAGACCTCCACGTGGCCACCGAAAGGTGACCGTTCTTGGTCTCTCAATATCGTCAGTATTAATAATAATATTAAAGTTAAGATGTCATAGATAAGAATTTGTAGTTTCTACAAGGGTGTAAAACTTACGGAACAACTAAAAAGACACATTTCTTATATTATTTTGGAATTTTTGGGGTCATAAGTTTTAAAATCCGACATCTTAAAAACTGTCTCTGTTGATTGGGATGATCAGAAGTTAACAATATCAATGGGATCTACATTTAATAGGTAAATATGTGTAAAATATATTTATGTAAATATGTAAATATATAGGCCTTTGTATAAATCTCCAAAAAAGGATATTGAAAATAATCTTGAAATTACGAAAAGTGAATTGGCATTGAAAAAAGAAAGGAAAAAGAAAGAAAATATGTTTGAAAAACTCAGGAAATTTATTTACCTAAAGCCAACAAGTCTAAGAAATTGTTTTTTTTTTTAATGTTTATATTGAGTTACATGGCCCGGACAGCACATATTTTTTTTCATGAACGGAAGCGTCCCGTGCGTAGAATCATACTGGCAGGATTTTTTTCTACAACGCCAAAACTGCACGCTCTGGAATTCCCCGATTGCTGCCACACAGAGACTTCGCTTTGAAAATCGGTACGGTGGATGATATAAGTTTTGTTGACGGAGGAGAGTGGTTGCAAGCTTTGTTATTTTTAAGCTACTGGTTGCAAAGCCTTATCTTATCTGCGCATCGCAGAAATAGGAGGATCGGAGGATTCTAGAGTAGTTTTTTTTACCGTCAAGTTTTTGGAAATCGAAAAGCGATGACGCGAAAATTAAAGGCCGTGGACACGAGAGAGGGCGCAATCTGGGACTCTCAATACTTAGGACTCCACTGAAGTGAAGTATACATGTACCTTCCCTGACTTCTGTACAAAGTGAAGTTCCACTGACTGACTGAGTCTGAGCTGCTGTTTTTGGTAGGAAAGAGTAGGGCCTATCTGTACTGTAGCAATCCTTTTTAGATGTAGGGTGAACAAAGGATATTGAAGATGATTTTCTAGTTGAGATACTTCAGAGTTCAGTGGAGAGAGTCCCAAATTTTCGGACTAGGGATGCAGTACCTTGCAACACTATGGCACCGGGTACCAATTTCAGTATATTCCCGTTTAGATGATTGTTTCCTAAGTTTACCGTCCAACTGATTATATTCATGTAGCAAACCTTAATGTCCAGAAATAGAAGCAAATATAAGGTTTCAACTGTACAAAGCTGTATGTTACATTAAGCATGACGGAGCTAGCTAGGCATTAAGATAGCATGCACATACATGACCTTGTGCAGGCCCAGGGGCCTAGCTGACCTCCTGTTTCCCCACATACACTGTTGTTACATAAATCACACTGAGGCAAGTCCACTAGCCACTGGTGATTGTATGCTCTCTTATTGGCTGTATCTGTTAGTGCACAAAACCATCGGCGCGATTTTCTTATTGGCTCATTCTGGTTTGTACACGAACCATCGGTACTGATGGTTCGTTTAAGATTCAATTAAATGTCACTTATATCGAGAGTGTCTGAGTAAATGTGTACAAATGCACTGTTCACATAGGGATTGCCTCGATCACCCCTGTGACCAAAGTGGAACTGTCAAATGGCATTGACAGGGTATTTATAATAAGTCTGTGGTTTTAATGGCTCATGTCTGAAGGATACCAGGGGTGAATCAGGTGTGAATGGTCTGGCTGTGAGGGCCTGCATGGTGGCTCAAATTACATAGTGTCATATAATCATTCCCACCAGGCACCTGATATTGTACAGGTGCACGCTCCAGTGAAGGTTAAAAATAGCCAGGAAAACCTACTTAACTGCGTACATTTTCCTTTAAAACCTTATAATTGCATGATGAAATAGTGTATTAAAACTACATGTATTAAGTCTATTTTTTTTCCGCACAGGTGTTTTTATCTGGGAGAAAAGTTTCAGTCTCGCGAGGCAGATGGCATATCCAACAAGGGATGTGTATAAGAATGTTGCGATGATTCGGGAAATGTCAACGAAAGATGATTTCTCTGGGGGTGTGTCAGAGTTCTACGACAAGTGGGCTGAGCACTATGATGAGGTATACATGTAGTCTATATTATATTATGAGCCCCTAACATTCAGTGACTTAATCATTTTGAAATAATAATATATCAGGCCAGCAATTAATAAATGACCCTTGCAAAAAGCCCTATTATCGAGTCCTCAAAATACACCCGTATTTCAAATTTATTCCTGTTTCAATCTTTCCATTGGTAATTGTAATGTTTCTGTCTTTTGTTTATGTTTATTTATGTTATTCTTCAGTAAACAAGACAAGGCAAGCCTACTAAACTGGTCCCAGAGTGCACAAAATTCTATTCAACTAATTTCAAAAATGGAAAACCACTTCTGCTTTTGGTCCATATAATGGGCCGGATAAGGTGTTTCACGGTAATAATGAGCCATCTTGCAAACAGGGCAATTTTACATGTGTTGCTGCATGTGTACGCATTGTCAATGGAAAACTTTCACGCTTCCAAGTCATCATGCGGTCGTTCCAAAATGCGCCCGCGTCTAGCAACGCGTGTTCTTTTTGCCCCGTGAACAAGATGGCACATAGGCAGGGGAGATTTTGCTACCAATTTTGATTGAGATTATCTTGTCATCCAGGACAGAAATTTCCAAAGTGAGGGTGCTAGTCGTAGAGGAACTCATACCTGTTCAACAGCACGTTCCTTTATCTAGAAATCTTCATCCATCTGGCCAAAAAACAACGATCAGTCATCAGCAGGGTTGGCTGATTTAAATCCCGTTGATTTAAATCACTGATTTAAATCGCAATTTAAATCAAATGAATTTTTTTTTAAATCACTGATGTAAATCACCTACGTAAACCCAACTTAGTGGTATGCATCCTTAAGTTGCATGTATTTTAGATTTTTGGAAGTGCGAGGTCTAGCTTTTTGCATGAAGTTTTTCTTTCTCAAGTCGGTTGATTTATCAGTTTCCCTAAATTCAATGGGGTGAACTTCCAGGCTCTATTAACTACATGATAGCCAACTGGTTTTTTTTGCAGGACTTGGAAAGGGCAAAGTATGGAGGTCCGGTGGCATGCGCAGAGGCTTTATGCAAACTGATGTCTGACAAGAACGCCCTCATTGTGGACATTGGCGCCGGTACAGGAAGATCGGGTCAAGAGGTCAGAGATGCAAGTGTAGCATTATATCACTAAATTGCAGAAGACACAAGCCACGATCACAATGGGCTGCATTGCTATTCCATATCACCGCTCTACCTAAATAAGAGTGTTGCTCGACCGGGAACAGAGGCTAGACCGGGAACGGGCACTTCACGGTCGATCGGCGGCAGAGCCCCCCCCCCCCCCCCCCCCAGCCTTGTATGAGGAATTAATCACATGAAATCTGAGACCTCTGGTTTAAAGGTCACTTCGATATGAGATCAGTAAAAAGTTTGACCCTTTGTGCCCTGTGAATATGTGTCATACTGTATCTTTTCAAAGCTCAATTTGTGCAGTGTTATTGATTAAACCTACCTGTTCTTTTTTTCTTCTCAAATACCTAGTTGGCCAAATGTGGTTTTAAAAGAATTGATGCTGTGGACTTCTCCCAAAAGAGTTTGGACATTAGTACCTCAAAAGGAGTCTATGAGAGGCTAATCTGTGACAGTGTTGGCAAAAACAAGCTGAAAGGAGTCACGGATGGTTAGTAATTAAATGCATCACAAACAGAGATTATTGAAAAGAGCAAACAGAATTATCAAGACTGTGTTTGCATGACCCTGCAACAGTCAGGTTCAAGTTGGCTTCAGTTCATCAAATTTGGTCATCCACAACCAATATGATAGTGTATTCCTTTCATGGCCACTGGGAGCGTCAAGCAATGCGATTAAGTACAAGTTTAGATGTACCATCCGTGCCATTCAACAGATGAAATTTTCCCCCAACAAATTTTCCCCCAGCAAATGTACATCTTCAAACATTTGTACATTTTTAACTCTCTATAGATATAGACCATGTATTTTGGATAGCTTTTGCATGTAAAAAGTTCTGCCTTGGCGAGTAGACTGGTTCCTGGTCCATACATTATCAATCATGTGAGATTTGAACTTCAAATTAAAACAATTTGTAAGGTGCATTTCCATATTAACTAAATGTGGCCTATTGGTTTTTTTTGTTTTTTGGGTTTTTTGGTGGTTTTTTTTAGTCCATGACAATTGAATAACTTTTAAATTTACTATTAAAGTTGCAATTTGCAATTAAGGCAACTGTTGCATCGTCCATTTCGTACTTCATCCATGATGGACAGAATGTTTGATCCATGCAGTTCGTACCCCTCCCCACCCCCACCCCATGTGGGTATAATCTGACTTCTGCTAATGCAAAGTAAATAAAGGCATAGATAATTTATCTACCCAAAAAAAGGGTAGAGAAATGAAACAGTATAACATAAAAATTTACACCTTGTACAATTAGGAATTGTGTATAGTCTACTTCACCACTCATTTAAATGTTCAAAGTCATGATGGCCTTGTCAAATAGCTTGTCTGATGCTTTTTCATCTTTCTTTCCTTCTCTGTCATGTAGGTTATTACAGCGGTTTGCTGTGTGTTGGTGCCATAGCTGCTGGACACATATCACAGGACGCTTTTCCTGAATTTACACGGATAGTTAAAAAGGGTAAGCAGATTTGTAATTTTTTTCTTCAGATAGTGAAATGCAATCAGGACAGAGAATTATGAAAAAGTGATGTTAGAAAAATGCTGCTATTAGGCAGCTCAGTTATACTTTACTAAGAATATTATAGCTATTCCTTTTTATAGGGTGAGTCAAAATGAAAGTGACAGATTTATTGACTAGTAAAAATTTCACATAATTTGCATACTCTATTCACACGTTATTTCTATTTTAATCAAAAATACCACAAAATTCAGCTGCCCACGACTGATCTTTACCAAGAATACCCTTTAAATACAATAAACAAAAACTTGCAAAGAAAAACATACAAAAATTCCCATTTCCGAGAAGACCTTGTTTTCCTCAGGCTAGGTACAAAATCTCATTTGAATGACTGTGTGTAGTCTCTGTTCTCACTCAGAAGAATAGCTTCAAAGCATACATATATAGCATTCCATGGACAGCTGTAAAAATGGATCCTTTTAGTAAAACATGCATCAGGTTACTTCTGAAAGCATTGATCAGTCATTCTTTTTGTCACGAGTCGAAGACCATGCTCGTTTACTACCCGCTTTAATTCATTGGTGAGTCAATGTTCATCACTTTGCAAGTGGAAAAAAATCAATTCAGGTCATTTTCTTTTGGACTCGTCCTGTAGAAGCATATTTTTAGGATATAAAGTGGGATAGAGTGCAAAGGTTAATTAGGGTAAAGTCCTATTGCTGCATGTGTGGCTGGCTGATGGTTGTGTTGTAGACCCTTTGGGCAGGTCTTTATTCCCATGTGATATACATCGTACTTCACCGGCCACTGCCTGCTCCCCATCCTTCCCTGTGCCCCCCCCCCAACCCCCATCCCCCATCCCCACCCCCCAAAAATGATTTTGATCAGCCGGTGTAACAAGCTGAGGGAATTGGTTAAAAGGCACATAGTTATCTGCATTTATCCCAAAAGTAACGTACCAACTTCTTATTATAACAAAATCTACTGGTACTAAAAACACCCTGTAAAACTGTTCTGTCTCGCTTGCTCTCGTGTAGAGGAATTTTTTTTGGTTGTGAATTCCAATGATCAGTCAGTAGACAGATATTTGGAAATACATATATAAGTATTCACTAAATCGTGTTTCAAGCTCAAAAGATTGTGTATGTTTTCTTCGAAAGGTGTAATATCCCCTGAGCTGAAACTTCAATAGGTTAACTTTGAACAGTCTTCTGTGAATTAGGAGTGGTGTTATTAGGGAGGTTTCGCAAGCGAACGGATACGCTTACACTTACGTTTAGCTATCCGTAACCGTTTTTTACTTACGTGTAGCGAGCGAGATATGCGTGTCGTCTGCACGTTTAGCGGATAGTGAGTGGCGTATGACGTCATAATTGATGACGTATCCGTCGCACTAAACGTATTCGTTTGCATGCGAAACCTCTCTAGTAACACTAACAAAAACCAACAAAATGCATGAAAAGCAAATGATCCTATACTTGTATGCCTTTTAACTGGTCTGTACCTGTTTGTGTGTGTTAATGTTTGTGATCAGGGGGAATCATGGTCTTCACAGTCAGCAAGGTTACATTACCCACAGATGGACAAATTCAAAAGAAGATTATCCAAGGGATCCAAGATGCTATTAATGACCTCGTACGGACAGGAGTTTGGGAAGTGGTTGAGAAGACTAGCATCACATACCTGCATGATAATGAGGCTGACAGGTTCATAATAAGACGTCTTTAAAATGGAAGAAAAAATAAGCTCTCTTAGGTATAACAGTGATCGTTCCATCAATTAATCTATTAATTGATTCATTTACACTGTTTAACACCAGATTATCTGCTCATTATTATGAGTGTTAAAACCTTGAGCTGGAAATAGCACCCCACCCCCCAAATGTTTATCTCTTTTGATATCCTTTAATCTTTTTAAAGTAATTTCATGTGTATATTTTATCCACTGCAAACTGCCATCATTCTTTTATTTCATTGTTATTTTATTTTATTTTATTTTATTTTCCTCTATTGTGGTTAAGTTTATTTATTCATTTATTTATGTTTGAAATAATGTTGGTTTTCAGTCCTACTTTTCTGGTTGCTTATCATTTATTTTTACTTGTATTTATTTTGTTATTGCTGCTTTTGTTGTTGCTTTTCTTGTTCGTTGGATGGATTTTTTTGGACGCAGTTTTTCTCGCATGTCAACTGCGATTAAGTATTTTTTACTTTTCTCTATCAGGTTTATACTGCTTATCATTTATTTTTATATCATTTTAAATTATTTTGTTTACTGTATCAATCTTTCGTTCCGTGTTTTTATGTTGTGTTGTTGTTGTTGTTGTCGTCTCGTCTCGTCTCGTCTCGTCTCGTCTCGTCTCGTCTCGTCTCGTCTCGTCTCGTCTCGTCTCGTCTCGTCTCGTCTCGTCTCGTCTCGTCTCGTCTCGTCTCGTCTCGTCTCGTCTCGTCTCGTCTCGTCTCGTCTCGTCTCGTCTCGTCTCGTCTCGTCTCGTCTCGTCTCGTCTCGTCTCGTCTCGTCTCGTCTCGTCTCGTCTCGTCTCGTCTCGTCTCGTCTCGTCTCGTCTCGTCTCGTCTCGTCTCGTCTCGTCTCGTCTCGTCTCGTCTCGTCTCGTCTCGTCTCGTCTCGTCTCGTCTCGTCTCGTCTCGTCTCGTCTCGTCTCGTCTCGTCTCGTCTCGTCTCTTGTCTTGTCTTGTCTCTTGTCTTGTCTTGTCTTGACTTGTCTTGTTTTGTTTCATTTTGTTTAGTCTTATCCTGTCTTGTTTTGTTTCTTTGTTTGTGGGGGTGTTGGGGTAATGGGGTGTTTGTTTGTTGGGGTGTTTGTTTGTTTGTTAGTTTTGTTTTGGTTTGTTTGTCTGTTTTTCCCCAGTCTTGTATAATCTGCAGTTGTTAGGTTTTTACGCCAGCTATTTTTGCCTTTGAGAATACTGTGGTCAGGGTTGTAACTGGTAATCCTTTGAATCTAATTATATTTTTAAGTATTGCGGTCTTATTTTCATTGAATTTTGTACCTATTTTTTAATATACATATATTTTGTATTCAAGTTAGGATTGACAGGCTTTCAAGTCACAGTGTTTTATTACACTTTTGTCAATCCTGGCCATCTGGGATTGGATTGTTTTTGTTTAGTTTTGTTTACCTTTGTGGATTGCTTGTTGTACCTTGTAATTTGGCCGAATAAATAATAATGATAATAATAATAACATGGTTACATCATTATTCTTGATTTCAAAGATTGTTGTTTAAAAATCATATAAGGAATTCATCAGGGTAGTCCGCCTAGCGAGTCAAAATTATTGTAAATAACGTTGTTTATGACATTCTGGTGCAAAAATTTAACAATTCTATTGCGGACTATTGGAAAGGCCCCTAGACTAGATAAGTGTCTGGTTCACTAGTTCGGCTGGCTAGTGAAAAAAATGAAGGGCAAACCCTGGTATTCATTGATTTTTGTTATAATATTAAAAGAAATATTTTTTTTAATATTTAAAGAAATAAATCGACACATTAAGTTAAATTTATTCATTGTTTCATTTGAGTTATCTGTTTTAAAACTCTAATCGATTTTTAATATTGTAAGTCTCCAACCATATTTCGTACCATTTTATTTTCAATCTCGTATATTTTGAATGCAACAGGGCACTAAGGATGGCAAATAGTTTAACTGATAAGGCTACCTTAATGATAAGAGATTATATATATTTATTATTTGCACTAAATTAATATAATATGATCTGCTTTATAATAATTACAAAAGTACAGAAAACCTATCACTATCAGTTGGTGTTGCACGAATGAAATGTAAATACAGTGGTAATTACCAAAATGTTTGAACTGTATCAATTGGAATTATCAAAGCAGGTTTAATTCAGCTGTTGGCTGCGAGCCATGGTGTCTAAAATAAACCAATTTGATGGAATTGAATTTATTTACACTATTGTGCGTACACCTTTCACATAAAGAAATAATGGGTTCTTTACATAATAAATGTATATATGTGCTTCGCTGAAATGAAAATTAATTTGGAATTTGGAAGAAAAAAACAATATGAACAAATTATTTGTTAACACAATTAAACTAATGCCTGGCCCATAGTGAATGCCTTCTATAATGCCTATCAATTGCTTTTCAGTTATGGAATGAATATAACTTTTTGGAAATTCCCAATAAAAGCCATGTCCTTTCGTATTTTCGCCTTGACAGCTGTCAAAAGGTGTTATTCACCAATTTTATTTGTCATTTTTTCTTCATTGAATTGAAATTGCCTTTCATATTTGCAAAGTCATGGTAATACCCTGTGTGATTGCCAAATCAGGGAAAGCCCCTCCTTTATTATACCAAAAGAATGAAGGCCCTTTTTATGTACAAGCGATTTTGGTATGCAAGTATCACTATTTGTCGATGTCAGCGCCGAATGAGCGGGTCGCTATTCACATCTGGCTTTCTCCAAACTATCGGATCTCAAGGTATGTGTCTTAAAGGGAAGATACAACATTTGCAAACATCAAAAAACGAAATGATCAAATTATCACGAAATACCTTACTGAATTGTTAGGGACTGATAGTCCAAATCATTCTTTAAAATCGTGGCTCCTGGTGTGCTGACATTTTCAAAAACAAACTGTATTTTTCCAACGCTGGTCGGCCGACCAGCGTTGGAGAAAACTGGTTTTTTTTCAAAAACTGTTCCTAAGTTTTCGTATTTAGTTATTCTGACTTTTCTTTGCAATTGATTACACACCTGTGAAGGGGTACAAGCCTGCTAGACTGATTCTCTGAGCCTACAATTCCCTAAGTGTATTAATTGCTCTGTTTCATTTTAAGTGGGGTCAGGGAACCAGACTACAAGAACATGATAGGTTTTCTTGGTTTTTCCAGCGTCTACAAGCCCAAAACGTGAAACAAGTCAGTTTAAAAATATTTTCTATAACATACTATAAATCCTCCAAACCCATTTATTTCTGAAAATAACAGCAAAAGCAAATGTTGTACATTCCCTTTAAATGAATCTTAAAGATGCAATATCCCTGCTTATCAACAAATTCTATTTTTTACTCAATAACGAATTTACAACTTCATGTTTAATTTGAAAGTAAACACCGTTGTTTTTTTTCTGAGTGTCAGCAATCCTCTAAAAAGGCTATTATTTTCGGTGTCTCGTTCAACAGCGAATAATTTTGTAATGCTGCCTTTGAGAAACCTTATTATTTTTCTTTGGAGTGAATTTGAAATTAGTGTGTACATGCAGTACATCTTTAAACTCCAGTAAAATTAAGAGGGGCATCTGCACATTTCATCCCCGCAGTGACCGTTTAATGTTACATGCACTGTTCCAAAAAACTATCCAACGTTTCTTTCATTAACTCATGGTCAAACACAGGTAGTTTTCACATGAACCCCTGTTGCGAGTGAAATTATTGACACAATTAAAAAACATGTAAGTTTTAGGCAATTAAAATATGTCATGAAAATTCGTTGCATTTTTCATCAACTTCATATTATGTGGAATATGTAACAGACATCATTTTGAACCAGCGTTTCGCCTGTCTTGCATAACAGTAATATCCTGCTTCAACTTTCTAAAAGGAAATAAGTCATATTTGGTTGTTGTGTACAAATACATGCGCATCAGAAAATGACACTCTTCAGTCTTTTGTACGTGCCTCATAACTTATCATACATGTACAATGTACATGTTTGAAAAATAACTTCAGATGGAGAAACTGAAGACCACATTATACAGGGGATTTTTAACATTTATTTTCGTATAATATCCGCAAACATTTCCCAACAAAATCTCATTTTTGCGCATTTAGATTCGGCTGTACTCACGCTTGTAAACAGTCGAACAAAAAGTCACAGGTGTTGACAAATAATGCGGAAATGACCTTTACCGTAACAAACATGTTTTATGTCAGCTACAGCCAGAGCTTTCGTACATAATTTTGAATTGCTTTATGTGCGCGATGTTTACCCATACAGTTAACATATAATTTATTTATGGGTATGAAGTATGAGTAATGACGTTAAAAAGAAGTTGTTAAGTAAAGTTGTAAACGGAAACGGTATTTATTTTAATCCATACAGTTGAGTGAATCGTTATTCACCGTGTTAATAATTTGGTCTCGATCACTTTAAACAGCAAACATTAAAGCAAGCTCTCAACATAAATCTAGTTTGTCGTTGTATGAATTGTCTTAAACCACTAGTGTAAAAGCTCTGGTGTTAAATTGATAGAATACTGAACTGGTATAACTTTTTTGGTGATTACTTTGGTGTAAAAATAAAACACCAGTGAATTCAAATTTGAGGGTAAAAATTTGAATAACTCAATTTATAGTTTAATTAGTAGACACAAAGAACACCCGTGCGTGCGATGATCCAGAAAAACTGATCGGATGCCATGAGTTTGAATCGAATAATAAATTATTTGGAATTGCAGCTCGGAAACTGATTGAGTGTTTTTTTAATAGCAACTTATTACTATAGGTCCCTGACCAAATTATTTGCACAGTTTTATATTGTCCGCGATATACTAGACACTTTCTGGTGTCCCAGACTGACTGTTCACTTTGATTGTTGATTAGAATTAATTCATTCTAAACTTAAGTATCAATTAACACGGGTCACTGGAGGTGTTGTCTTGGATACTAGGAGAAAATACATTTAACACCAAAATAGTACCATTAACACATCTTTAAGGTGTCCGTATGGCTGTTGCCCAACCATGACACTTGGGGAGAATAATTTTAACACGAAGTGTACTACAATAAAAAAACAACGATTTCTGGTGAGCAGTTAGAGCACTATTACACCAACTGTTGGTGTAAAAGAAACACTATGGGTGTTTCCGTATGGATACAAAGAAATAATTTAATTCAACACATTTTGGCTAACACCGCAGTTTTTGCAATGTAATTGCTTGAATGTCGAGTCGTTTTTTTTTAAAAGTCATTCGTGATTTCTTACATTCATCGTCAGCTTTCCACCTACTGGTGCGCTACCGAGGAACGGGTCCTGTTCGGGGCAAAGCGTTCGTGTGGCTTTGAGTTACATCCAGTCACATCCCCACTGATGGCTTTGAGGATCTTAGGCCGCACTTCCCCAAGTCTCTGCAACTGTGGTGGTTATATCACCGATAAGACGGAACCTTGCCAGGAAAGAAAATGCTGACGCGTTCTCCGGACTCCAGCTGCGGGAGCAGAAGAACCTTGATCTGTACATCAATCACATCTTCATTTACTGAGACATTGAATGGTGCGAGAAGACCACTGCGGAACTTCCCGGTTTAGTTGCATATTATACGCAAGGAACGTAAACATAGGCCTATTACTGTGTTTTTGTTTGATCTGCGCGGTGTCAAACGAATTGTGGACTGAAAGTGAAACGCACTTTGCAAACCTCAGACGACCTTGCTGCAACAGACTGTCTTTGTAGACTATTCTGATCAGTTTGGGGAAAAACATGGCTTTATTAAACAATTGTCATTCAAGTCGCTCCTTTCGTATACGTCTTCTCCTCATGGGACTGCTTATTCTATCGCAGGAAGCACATTCGATTTGCCCGAGTGTCTGTCGTTGTGTAGGTCAGTATGCTTCGTGTGGAAACCAGAATCTTTCAGCGATTCCAGTCGGGCTACCTGACGACATACGGACCCTCTATCTTGAGCACAACCAACTCACCAAGCTAGCAGCTGGTGATTTCTTTAGATTATCTCAGCTGGAACAGCTGTATCTGTACAACAATAACATTACAGTCATCGAAGATGGCGCATTTCGCGGCCTGACAAGGTTGAAATCGCTGGGTCTCGAGAGTAATAACATCAGCATACTAACTCACCGTACTTTTGAGGGAATGCCTAACCTGGAAGAGTTGAGCCTCCAAAATAATCGCCTGTCTTCTTTAACTACTGGCGTCTTCAGTCAGGCCCCTCGTCTTCGGGAACTTAATTTGGCAAGCAACGACATTGGGGAATTCCCGACCGACATCTCACGAGACTTAATGAACGTCGAGATACTAGACCTGTCATACAACTCAGCAAGTCTGCTGTTGACTCCTGTCTTTGGACAAATGGTGGCTTTGCAGCATCTCATATTGAACAATCTTTCTGCGGTAAACAATGCATCTGTGGTGGATTCCATACCGGTACCAGACTCGGCATTTGACGGATTGTCGAATCTAAGAAAACTCGAACTCAATGGTAACCGTCTCAGCAAAATTCCTGCAGCAGTCAAGACTCTTTTGAACTTGATTTCTATCAAATTACAATCTAACTTTATTCAATCTATTGATGCTGATGATTTTCACCAGCCCTCCTTGCTAGAATGGCTCGAGCTTGATAACAATTCCCTGGTTGAAATCCGTACCTCTACATTGGCAGGGTTCCCACATCTCACCGATTTGTACTTGAACTACAACAATTTGACCACCATAGTGGACGGAGCAATGAATCATGTTAACCCCAATGTAACTCTCGAGTTATTTGGGAATCCCATCCGTTGTGATTGCCATTTGCGCGGGTTTGCGGCGTGGCTCAAGAACAACCACACTGGATCACTTAAGGGAGGCAGATGCGTTACTCCCGATCGTCTAAACGATACGCCCGTGACCCATCTTCTTCCAAATCAGTTCGCTTGCAGACCACGATCAACTTCCCCTAATGCCACTGTCTCAGTGCATCTTGGAACCAATGCCCTTTTACCATGTGGTATCGACGCAGACCCGATATTACAAACTTCCTGGATTACAAACAGGAACGAAACAATCTCTACAGACAAGCTTAAGCCGCCCTTCGCCATGGTTGATATAAATGGTTCCTTGTTGATAACAAACGTCACGTGTTCCCACGAAGGACTCTACGTGTGCAAGGTCAGCAATGGTGCAGGATCTGTTCGAAACTATGTCGAGCTTCGAATACTCTACTCAACCTTGCCCCAAGAGCCAACAGACAAGACACACCTCATTCTTGAAACATCAATGCTTGAAACAATCGTAATAACACCAACTCTGTCCGGGGCCGTTGCTGGTAACAAGTTGATGATATCAATCGGTATAACAGGCGGCATCTCGTTTGTCATGGTAGTTTTACTTGTCGTGCTTATCACCATTGCCAGAAAGAGGTGCAGTAATGGAGCAGCACCAGCACCGCCAGCACCACCACCCCAAGCACCACCAACACCACCACCGCCGCAAGCAGCACAAGCAGCGCCACCACAAGCAGCACCAGCACCACCAGCAACACCACCTCAAGCACCACCAATACCACCACCAGCACAAGCAGCACAAGCAGCGCCACCACAAGCAGCACCACCACCCCAAGCACCACCAATACCACCACCAGCGCGAGCAGCACAAGCAGCGCCACCACAAGCAGCACCAGCACCACCACCTCAAGCACCACCAATACCACCACCAGCACAAGCAGCACAAGCAGCGCCACCACAAGCAGCACCAACACCCCAAGCACCACCAATACCACCACTACCGCAAGCAGCACAAGCAGCAGCAGCAGAGCCTGAGCACCTTAACGACGGTTTTGTGCATGACATGGAGTATACAACACCTGAATAAATCCCCGTCATCTGATTGGTGAATTGTAGATCACGTGACATATTATTATTCGGTATAATGCACGGTGCGACCATGCGTTATACCCATGCGTTATACCGTTTCACTTTGCGCTTGTTCCATGACGCGGTATTTGCGTGCAAAATCAAAATAAATTGTAGTTTATAATTTACCAATCAAATGACGAGAATTTATTCAGGTGTTGTATAAAACAAATAACGAATGTTTGTGAGTGCGATGGAAAGAATAATTTCATGAGGTGACAGATTGAATGTTCTTTTCCACGAGGCGAAGTACATCTTTAATGAACCTTGGATGAACTTGGTTTGAACAACAATGGTCAAACAAGATGTGACAAATCGTTATGGACTTTTTTATCAATTTTTATAATAACGTTTAAGATACTCGGATGTACTGCAGCAACATAGCCTGGGTTCTCAGCATAGAGGGCGAGTGGAGGGGTGGGGTGGGGTTGGGGGTGGGGTGGGTGTTACAGTGGGGGCACCCGATTTCCGTTAAAACCCCTAACCATGGTCAATTATAGGACTAACAAATTTCCATGGGGGGAGGTACTGGGGACGAAGATTTGTTTTATGCAGGGGGGGGGGGGCGCTGATGTACTGATATGTAGGCATATTTAGGTGTACAGTGTATTTCTCCGTAATTAAGACGACTTTTACTCAGGAATACAGTATCTATTCTTTTAAGAAAGGTGTAAGGTATCTTTATAAAATCAATATACTGTTTTCAGTCAATGTGTTAATTACAGTTTTTATAATACGTTTGGTAACCGTTCTAATTAATATGGACTATATGAGGTATAATTTCAAACATCAGTAGTGGAAAGCTCCTTTTATTGTGCATGGTTCCCAGATTTGTATACAATTTGAAATTGGTCAGTCGTTATTTATTACATTTCTTTACCCAGGGTATGCCCAAACAGTTCAAAACTGGTTTCCATTGGGGCCCTGCATACAATGAAAAATGACTACAAACATGTATACGAATACAATACGTTACAAATACAATACAAATGGGATAAAGCATTATGGGATTAATGCATAATTGTCAACGAAATATCATAAATACAATATATTGTAAAACTATTATAACTACATGTACAGTGTGAAACAACATCGCTTACAGGCATTACTATACGGTAAATTCAGTGTACACAAAGAATTTTGATCTATCTGGTAATATCAAGAAAATGTATTGCTATAATTATATTCGCTGATTACGGGAGGGACGACAAACCCGCGGAAAACCCTTTTGGGAGAAAACACGGGGAAATTCCCATTAAGCTCCTTATTATTATGGCAACCAAGTTTGTTAACTCCGTAGATCAGCACATATTTATATTTGTATAATCAGAGCAGACAGCGAAAAAAAATACTCACATAATTTTTTGACTGAACTCTTTACGTAGTTCAGATTTGAATGAGGTAAGAGAAGTCATGGTTCTCAGCTGTACATGCAAATTATAAATGTATAATGTTCATCGACATTCTTTCATTTCATTTTCAGTAAATCAAATTAAAAGCGACGATGACATTAATTATACACTAAAACATATTTTTGTGCAATTTCCATTTCTTTAAAATTATGAAAAACTACGAAACATCCCTTTTTATTCATGTACTATTTCCTGATAGATGGCGCTTATTTACATTCTGATGTGCAAGTCTTAACTCCTTTTTTATTCTTGTACTGTATTCTGATATTTGTATGTGTTTTAATGGTAAATATTGTAGTAAATTTATATATGTTTTTAATATTGTTCGCATTGTGGCAATTTAGCCCCTGGCTACAAACACAATGTTTGTTTAAATCAGAATAATAATAATAACTGCCATGTACCGAAACATACAACCTTGCAAAAAGGGGAGAAAATAAATTCTGGCAACTTTTGGTTCTGAAGCAACCGTAACGTTTCAGCCTTAAATTATATCACAATAGTGCTCGTGATTATGGAACTAGTGTGCTTTAGCATAAAAACTCAAAAGACACCCAAAACACGCTTGAAATGAACATTGCCTTTCGTTTTCTATGGTTGAGTAGGCTTATTTTGCTTAGCATTTACCTCTTGAATAAGTTACTGAGTCTTTTGTGATTCTAGTGCATACTATCCCATAGTTGCGAAATAGTCTTCCATGAGGTTCAGGAAGGCCCCTGATGTATAAATAAAAATGACTTCATTTTATTACCATAACAATGAAGGCCCTTAAATCGCTGTATTATATGAATATACACGGAAGCGACCGTGAAGTGCAAACGTCACTGCTTCACACTTCTGGTCTCGATGCACTGAGAGATTAGGTTTCTCTGTTGGTACACCTGCTTTGCACCCACAACCATTGGATCTCCAGGTACGAGTCTTAAATTAATCTTAAAGTTGTACTGTCCTTGTTCTTAAAAAGTCGATTTTTTTTTGTCCTAATAAATTTCCAACTTTCATGTTTGATATCAACGGCGAACTGAAAAACCTATTGGTTTGCTAATGTTGGCATCAGCAACACTCCGAAGAAGTTTGTCATTTTGGGTTTCGCTCGTACCCCCCGCCCTGCAAACAGGGCGCTGGGATACTCACAGAATCTCACAGATAGCTTCACAGAATCTTGTGAAGGAAGTGCCTATGATATAAGGCATCTGGCTGCAGCTGTTCAAGACCGGAGTTAGACAATGTGCACAAATGCTATTCCCATAGAATGGCGCACATTTCATACCGGATGGGATTTCTGTTTCATTGCGGACCATGTGGACAAAATTTTGAGCGTCGCATAATGCAATCCGACCGTTCGTGATTCGAAACGGAGCCTGAGCAAGTGACGGGAATCGTAAATTTACAACACAGTTATGTTTTACAGAATTTCCTACATTATTACGCTTTTCAACGCGAAAAAACATCTCTTAACTGGAATAAAAGAGAAATGAATCAGTCTTAACGGCCGTTTCAAACCTTGGCGCGTACCCCCGCCCTGCAAACAGGACGCTGGGATACTCTGATGAGCTCCACAGAATCTTGTGAAGGAAGTGACCTATGACCTATGTATAAAGCATCTGGCTGCAGCTAGCTGTTCAAGACCGCAGTTAGACAATGTGCGCAAATGCTATCCGAAAACTTCCCATGTGATTTCTGTTTCATTGCGGACCATGTGGACATGTAATTGACACAGGCGGCTTTATTGGGTTATTTCACACTTAAGAAAATATAGAAGTCTAAAAAAAGATATTTGAAACCCTGAACTTTAAATGCAAAAGTTAGGCCAATACCAGTTTTGTCTGACTTGCCTTTATAACTGTGGTTTGCAAATGAACTCCTGATTTCCAGAGAAAATTAGAGAAAAGCTGTGGGGAAAAATGGAAATTTACAGCACCTGAAATGTATGTATTTCCAATTCTATATGAAAGGTGACTCTGAATCTCTGAATTCCCTAAAATGTGCGTTTTTCCAATACAATGTTAGAGGTGACTCGTGACTCGGACTTGGACTCGACCTTTGTGACTCGGACTCGACCTGGAGGACTCGGGACTCGGACTTGGACTCGAGAAATGTGACTCGACTCGGACTTGGACTCGATGTTTCGTGACTCGAATACAAGTCTGTTTTAAAGTCATTCGTGATCTCTTACATTCATCTGAATCCACCTACTGATGCACTGCCGAGGAACCATGGGTCTGTTAGAAACAAAGCGTTCGTGTGGCTTCGAGTTATATCTGGTAACAATCTCATTGATGATTCTGGGGGTCTATGCAACTTGCCCGAGTGTCTGCAACTGTAGAGTTTATAGCACCGGTAAGATATGGTACATTGTCAGGGAGAAAATCTCACAGCAGTCCCTGTTGGACTGCCTGTCGACACTGCCATCCTTCAACAAACTTATCAGGCTGGAAGCTGACTTTTCTCCGCCGGACTCCAGCAGCTGAGGGAACTTCATCTGTACAACAATCACATCATTGAGATAGAGGTGGCGCATTTCGAAATCTGTTGTGTTTGAAACAGCTGGACCTCACGAGTAACAAAATCAGTATAATAACGAGCCGTACTTTCGAAGGAATCCCTAACTTGGAGAAGTTGAACCTGGGAAATAATCTCTTGTCTTCTTTACCAAGTGACGTCTTAAGGCACGTCCCTCTATTACTTGAGCTCAAATTGAGGAGGAACAGCATTCATGAATTTCCGGCCGAAGTATCACGAGCTTTGATGAACGTCGAGTACCTAAACCTGGTTTACCACAGCAAAACAAAATCCAAAATGCTACCAATTGGTGCTGAAGCTGTCACACCGAAGTTTCTTCCTTAAATGACTTCACTTTTGCTCTTGAATATGGAAATCTGCATTCACATGAAAGCCCAAAAGGTGCCATAACACCATTTAAAATGAGAATTTCGAAGATTGAAAATGAATTTAGAAGGAACACAACTAAAGGTGCTTCATGGATTGTACAAACAATTCTGAAACAATTTAACAAGTTGACCAACATCATCAAGAACAAGACCGGATCAATTTATAGTTCAATGTGAATTGAAACCAAATGCTAGCAATGACGAGGGATATCTTTTGTGCGCTGTTTTTTGGTTTGGTTCAAATTGCACCTCATACGTACATGTACTTTGTTTTGCTGTTTGTTCTGTGCGGTGTCAAACGGATACGTGAATTTAAACGCTTTTTGTTTTCCTTTTCTTTGCAGATTTATGTACGAACAACCTTGCTACGACATTGTAGACGTTTCTTAGCGTTGGGAAAACATGGCGTCGTTCAACAGTTCTCATTCAAGTCGCTCCTTTCGTATACGTCTTCTCCTCATGGGACTGCTTATTCTCTCGCAGGAAGCACATTCGATTTGCCCGAGTGTCTGTCGTTGTGGAGGTCAGTATGCTTCGTGTGGATACCAGAATCTTTCAGCGATTCCAGTCGGGCTACCTGATGACATACGGACCCTCTATCTGGATTACAACCAACTCACCAAGCTAGCAGCTGGCGATTTCTCTAGCTTATCTCAGCTGGAACAACTGTATCTGTACAACAATCACATCAGTGTCATCGAAGATGGCGCATTTCGTGGTCTGGCGAGTTTGAAATTGCTGAGTCTCGAGAGTAACAACATCGGCATGCTAACTAACCGTACTTTTGAGGAAGTCCCTAACCTGGAAGAGTTGCACCTCCGAAACAATCGCCTGTCTTCTTTAACTAGCGGCGTCTTCAGTCAGGTCCCTCGTCTTCGAGAACTTGATTTGGCAAGCAACGACATCGGGGAATTCCCGACAGACGTCTCGCGAGACTTAATGAACGTCGAGATACTAGACCTGTCATACAACCCAGCAAGTCTGCTGTTGACTCCTGTCTTTGGACAAATGGTGGCTTTGCAACATCTCAAACTGAACGATCTTTTTGCGGCAAACAGTGCATCTGTGGAGGATTCTATACCAGACTCAGCTTTTGATGGATTGTCAAATTTAAGAAACCTCGAGCTCAAAGGTAACCGCCTCACCAAAATCCCCGCAGCAGTCAAGACTCTTCCTAACCTGACTACCGTCAGTTTGTACCTAAACTCGATTCAGTCTGTTAATGCTGATGATTTTTACCGGCCCTCCCTTCTAGAATGGCTCCATCTTGAATACAATTCTCTGGTTGAAATTCCTACCTCTGCGTTGGCAGAGTTCCAACACCTCACAGATTTGTACTTGAATTACAATCATATCCCAGTGATCCCATCCCTGGCATTCTTGCACAACCCTCGCCTAGCCATCTTGCATATGTCTTACACCAATCTTACAACAATCGAAAAAGATGCGTTTGTTGGACTGGGTCGACTCGAAACTCTCTATCTGAAAGGCAACAATTTGACCACCATAGTGGACGGAGCAATGAATCATGTTAACCCCAATGTAAATCTCGAGATATCTGGGAATCCTATCCGTTGTGATTGCCATTTGCGCGGGTTTGCAGCATGGCTCAAGAACAATCACACTGGATCACTTATTGGAGGTAGTTCTCTTCAATGTGTTACACCCGACCGTCTGAATGATACGTCTGTGGCCGGTCTCCTTCCAAATCAGTTCGCTTGCGCTCCACGTTCACCTTTCCCCACTCTCACTATCTCGGCAGTACTTGAAACTAAAGTCCTATTACCATGTCGTATCGACGCAGATCCAGCACTGTATACCTACTGGATTACCAGCAGTCACGAAGAAATCTCACCAGAACAGCCTCATCCGCCCTTCGCTATAGCAGATAACGGTTCCTTGTTGGTAACTAACGTTAGCATTTCCAACGAAGGACTTTACACGTGCGTAGTTAGCAACGATGCCGGGGAAGCTCGGAGCTCTCTCAATCTTCACATACTACTGTCAGCTGCAAAACCAATCAAGAGTAACAACATATCGATCGTATATATCTGTGTGGCCGGTGGCATCTTGATTTTCGTTGTTTTGTTACTTCTTGTACTCCTCAGGAGAGGCATCATTGCCAGAAATATGTGTATTATGGACAATGAAGAAAATGAGCATGCAGCTCATCAACAGGCAAACGCAGAGAACATAGACAATCCAACTGCATCTCAGTATCAAGCATATGAGAGTTTGGATGGCGAGAGTTTGGATGGCGATGACAGCGGCGATCATGAAGCGAATCAAGGTGACCATGTATACGACCATCCACCAGCTGAAACACCACCACAACCTCGACCGCCACATGAATACAACATGAATGAGGGATATAATAATCAAGCATATAATAATAGGGATGACAATGTCAACGATCATGAAGAGAATCAAGGTGACCATGTATACGACTTGCCACCAGCTGAAACACCACCACAACCTCGATCGCCACATGAACACAACATGAATGAGGGATATAATAATCAAGCATATGACAATGTCAACGATCATGAAATAAATCAAGGTGGCAATGAAGTAGGACCAATAGCACCGCCACCACTACCACCACGACCATCAGCACTAGCACAGGTACAAGCACAACAATCACCACCAGAACACGGCGGGCACGAGGTCATTGGTATAAACGAAGGCTATGCGAGTATGCGAGAACCCTAACTCCCTATAGCATGATTTACTAGGAACCACACATCCTGGTAAATTCCAACACCATAATGGAAAACTGCACGCACATATTTCTGACTTTGATTCTGGAGATGTGCCAATCCAATGTAAAAGACTGGCCGTTTTAGGGGTACTGTACCCATCCTGACAGATTCCAACAAAACATGCCGTTGGGGTTTGACGGGTCGAATTCTGTTAGGGCTTCGCAGAGAGACGTTCATGCCCCTTGGATCTGACGTGTTGGAAAAGACACGAGAGGGTTTGAATAGTAGGCTTAATAAGAACAAAGATATGGAAAGCCTATAGTAAAATAGGTCCCAGAGCACAACAAATTCCATCGATTCAAAATAGCTAGTCACTGGTGGACGGTTTTCATGCGTGTTGTCTGCACATGTCAATGTACTATTTTCGGTCCACGTGTGTTTCATTTTGTACACAATTTTGGGTAATAGTAAATTGAGTGGCTCAGAACGGGGAGGAATATTATCGCCAGGTAAAATATGAACTATTTCACGAAGCGAAGCCGAGTGAAAAGTCCAGAGAGAAAATGAATGCGTACATGGGGAAAAGCCTGTTTTCTGTAAAACAGACGCAATTCTAGTTATTATCACTTTTTGGGAATAATTATTATCGCTCTACTATAAATAGCAAATGTATGTAAATTGGTAAATGTTCAATGTATTTCTCCGTTATTAAGACATTTACTCAGGACCGATCAGTTCTTTCGAGAAACTTGAAGATGTATGTATAAATGTATATAAGTCATTTTACTTTTTGGGGTCCAAATGGTAATCGTTTCACAGTTTTGCACAAACTTTTGGGTAACTGAAATGGACCAGTAACTTCGGAAGTGGTAATGAAAGTCCTTTTTAGTCTGGTTCCCAGGCTCAAAAATTCTGACTTTTCTGCGCATCTGAGGTCAGGTTCTATACGTAGGTATCGATACGCGTTACCAAAACACGTATGATTCCTCCAGTTTCCAATTCCCTTTCTCTGCTGTCTTCTGTGACGTGGGGTGTCGTCAGGTCAGGGAACCAGACTATCACTGTCTTATTAAATTTCAGTTTTAGTTTTATCATCATAGTTTCATGTACTAGTCCGGTGCATAAAGTATAATGTCTATTTATCGGCTAAAAAGGGCACCAGTCCTAGCTTGTTCAATTATGAGAATCATTATATGATTACACTGACATACACACATACTGTGTAGATGAAGTGCGTAACAATTAAAATGAATTATGTATGTATTACTTGTAATAAACAGACTGGACAAAGTATATACTCAGAAGTTATATGACATTCACCCGGGGTTTATGTGTTAACCAGTATATTTGAATGTTATTTCATTGGTTTCATTTTTAATCCCACAAAGGCAAGGGTTAAAGGAGTGAGTGCCTACTACCATTGATTGTAGACCTGTGAACAGTAAGAACGCAAAACCGTTGTATAGGGCCTACATTAGAACCTTCTGGGGAAAAAAACTCAAAGTTTTATGTGACCCAGAATTCCTGCTTTGAAATGCAAAATGAGTTGCTGTCACGTATTTTAACGTGCCCGTGAAGTGTAATTTTTTTTAATGCAATACTTAGAAACAGTGCACCTTTGTGTCGATGTCCCATTTAACCCAATTTTTTATTTTCGTTTTGCCATTTTCAAGGGAATTTTGGTGCCTTTCTTGGTTTTTATGCTAATGCAAATTTCCATATTCATGAGCAAAAGTGTGATGTCATTTCAGGCAGAAACCTAAATGTTTCGGCTATTTCAGCACCAAAAGTTGACAAAATTTTGGATATTTTGCTGTCGTAACAAATATTTTCAATAAGCCAATTTTGGGGTTCACAATTTGAACATAAAACCCCTTAACTTGAACAGTGTCTTCCTAAAATGACATCACAAGCAACAGTGCCCTCAGTTGTCCGGAAAAACGTGGCAAACTTTAAATGTTGAAAGAAGTGCACTTTTCAATAAAGTTAACCAAAAAGGGATGTCAAATATTTGTCATACGTTTAAGAGGAGTAGGGGCCTAGAAGGTTGCAGAAAATATGTTCCTCGGAAAATTTCACTTCATGGACCCTTTAAGAGAGTGAATTGATTCATGACTAATTAATGGTCTTGTAACAAAATACTCGGATTAAATAGAAGTGGCTATGATTATATGCATACCCGGCTGTGCAAGTGCCGCTTTTTAAAAACTGAAACCGGTATGTCTGTATAATTCTACATAGAAACATTCTACAAAACATAAAATGAAGCAGGATAATAATATCAAGTTATTTTCTCTCTTTTTCGTGTTCATTCCCATCCGTTGTTAAGGAGTGTTCGTTGTTAATATTGATAGAAAGTTTTATACAACACCTGAATAAATCCCCATCATCTGATTGGTGAATTGTAGATCACGTGACATATTATTATTCGGTATAATGCACGGTGCGACCATGCGTTATACCCATGCGTTATACCGTTTCACTTTGCGCTTGTTCCATGACGCGGTATTTGCGTGCAAAATGCATGCTGGTGTGCGCGTTCAGCGTATAGCGTAGCGCGTATTGTTCCAAAGAGCCAGCAGGCTACAGCGTTGGGTTCAAAGATTTTCGTGAAGGGGTAGTTCAACATCTTTAAAATCAAAATAAATTGTAGTTTATAATTTACCAATCAAATGACGAGAATTTATTCAGGTGTTGTATAAAACAAATAACGAATGTTTTACGTTCGTGCGATGGAAAGAATAATTTCATTCGGTGACAGATTGAATGTTCTATTCCACTCGGCTTCGCCTCGTGGAATAGAACATTCAATCTGTCACCTCATGAAATTATTCTTACCATCGCACTCACAAACATTCGTTATTTGTATAATAACAACAATAAATGTACCCAAATATTGTCCATTTTATTCTGACCCCTGTGTTACCTGTATATTTAAGACATCAGGGGTTAGTATATTCAGAATATGACGCACGTACGTAACATATTGTCAAACTGAAATTTTCATAAATTTCCTAGCCAAGTTATGAACGTTATATCAAATAAATGTCTTGAAGACCAAGAAAATTGTTTCTTTTGGCTGGTAGCAATCCTAAATTGGTTATGAATATAACGAGATTACATTTGGGTAAATTCATGCACAATTAGTCCTGTTAATTTATATTAGAAAAAATTCTGTCCATTACGTAATTAGGCCCCCCCCCAAAAAAAATAATAGTTCTGCTTCCGGTTTCCCTACCTACCCTATTCTGACAGCCCCTACCCTAATTTTTTTTATGGGAAAAATGAGAAAAAAACACCACCACTGCCATCAGTGCCATGTACCGAAACAACAATGCACCCCCGCACAAAATGTTTTTTATTTTTACATGCTGGCAACTTTGGTTCAGAAGCAGTGTTACTCGTGATATGGATCTGGTCTGCACTAGCTTAAAAAATGAAAAGGCACCAAAACACGCTTGAAATGAAATTGGCCTTTCATTTTTTATGGTTGAGCAGGCTTATTTTACTTAGCATTTACCTCCTGAACAATCCTTTCTGAGTCTGTTGTGTGTCCCATGGTTGCGAAATACTTGTCCGTGATTTCAAAATCAGGGGAGGCCCCTTATGTATAAATAAAAATGACTTCATTTCATTATCATAACAATGAAGGCCCTCCAATCGCTGTACTATAGGCCCTATATGAATGTACACGCGACCGTGCACTTCTGGTCTCGATGCACTGAGAGATTAGGTTTCTCTGTTGGTACACCTGCTTTGCACCCACAGCCATTGGATCTCCAGGTACGAGTCTTAAATAAATCTTAAAAATGTATTGTCCTTGTTCTTAAAAAGTAAATTGTTTTGTCCTAATGAATTTTCCACTTCATGTTTGATTTCAACGGGGGAAAAACCAATTGGTTTGCTAATGTTGGCATCGGCACTCCCACTCCGAAGAATTGTTTAATTTGGGGTTCACTTTAGTACAAACTAAAATATACGCTCTGCATCCCGATTCTGATTTGATGGCGGTGAGGTGGGGGGGGGGGGCGGTTCTGTGAGAACTGAATTGTTGTTGGGCCACGCATAATTCGCAATTTGAAATTTTATTTCCTCAACTAAATGTGGGCCGATTTTTGCCAAGTTTTAAATTACTGAAAATCATGCCAACTATTTGTTTTCTCAATGTCTCAAATAAACTTGATTTTTTTTATTGCACAAAACAAAAGAGCAATTGAAAAATATATATATTTGTCGGGTTGAAAGTCGAAGGACGGTTAATATTTAAAAGAATCTTATCTTAATTGTTTCGACCGTAGTCATAAACAAAAACACATTCTTGGGGGCTTCTGTAACCCTCTGAAATGGGATTTTTACTTTGGGTTGCTTTTGCGCCTCTAATGCAACAACAATATGATTTATTATATGATTTTATACTGTAATGCCACAATAATTTGAAATTGTAAAGTTATTCCGTTATCCTTAACAAAGGCGGATATTTTGTGTTTCAGTTTCTTAAAAGTGGATAATAATTGTATTCCTAGAACCTATATAGCAAATTGAATATACTTACTAGTGGAACTTGAAAATAACAGTGACAGACTGACAGTCTTGAACATCATGTAAATTAAATAATTCTTAAATGAATCACGCCTTTTCCCAAAAACTATCGTCATTATCTCATGGTCGAACTGAAATTATTCACATAATTGAAAACCCAAGCTTATGTCATGACATTTCATAGCATTTTCGTAAACTTTTCGAATATACAACAGACCTAATTTTGAAAGTGCATTTTGTCAGTCTTGCATAATTACCCGGTTTCAACTTTCTAAAAGAGAATAAGACCTATTTATTTTGTGTACCAATACCTCTGTGCATCAGAAAATGACAGTCTTCAGTCTTTTGTACGTGCTTCATACCTCATTATACATATTTGAAATAACTTCAGCTGGAAAAAGTTCTCGGCATTTATTTTCAGATCCGAAATATTTTCACAACACAGGCTTTTTCTTGCGCAATTTAGACAGTTCCACTAAAAGTCACGTGTTCCTCTAAAAGTCATACG